TTTGACATCAAAGCCTGCACCGGCTAAGTGGGAACACCCCGAATATCGGTATAAAACTGGCCCCATTCAGTTCAGTATTCACAAAGATATGATGAATTGAAATTTGTCAACAAAACTCTTGCAAACTAAAATTATTGCGATATAAATTTCTAAAGTGTTGCAAGTTCTGAAAGTATTTACAAAGACACAATATTCAGCAACCTCCACAGATGATATAAACAAGCTAATGTTACATAATCTGGACCTGGAATGACCCTAAAATGATATCTGATGGTTATTAGGTAGTGTATGATATCTTTATTAGAGATAACAAGTTGTAAATGAATCTCACAACATTTAATACTATTTAAATGATCCCACTGAACGTCATCATCGTCATCAACATCCTGCGGAATTCCAGATGGTCAGTTTTCAGTCACGACCGTGACAACTACCACACGCTTCTACACACTATAGTCCGTGTTTAACACAACTACATTGCTGATTACCGCATCTGTTAATGAGAGGGGTTTTACATAGGCTAATCCGGTTCCCCTATCCCATACAGACAGCCTGAATAAAATATTGTTTATAAAACAAAACCTGTTAATGAGTCGTATGCACTTGCAGCAGACAAAGGTGAGAACCTCCTCGAGAGCTGCTGGCAGATCGGTCATGATTGGCTGCAGTCCATTTGCCCCCTCCCCCCACATCTTTTTATCTAGTAAACAATCGTCCAGCTGATGTCGCCTAACTACTTAGAAGATGTACTCGTAGGCTATGATAGTAGGATGCACGCTGGGGTCTAGTTTACTCAGATTTATGGTAATCATCACTAGAAATTTTTAATGTCTTAATGTTGTCATTTCTTTGTTTGCCGTTCTGGTCACAGACACCTCTGCTCATAAGTCTCTAATTCGAGGCTGTTAAACAGTACTTTTCATTTCCTCAGCGATTGCTGTCAACCTTTCACTTTCCAGTTGTACAGTTACAACTTCACATGTTTGAATAACGACGAGGTTGTGTCACAGCCTGACCACGCATGGATAAAAAGCAACGCCCCAGCTTGCCTTGGGTGGATTTTCCAAGAGATGTCCTGGACACGATAGAATCCACCTAACTTTGGTTTGCAGAAGAGCAGCGCCTTTCGCAAAACACTTTGATCAGATGTATCGTCATTCCGCTGGTAAACATGATAAAAAAGCATACACACTACGTTAGTATCGTTATGAACTACTTGCTAATTATTGCCCTCGCTCGTCGAGGGCGAAGGGGGGGGGGGTGGCCGAATGGTTAGCACGCACGCGCTGTATCATACGGTCTGTCATTGAGTCAACTGGCAGGGTTTCGATTCCCCGATTGTACGTGATAAGGAGTAGGGTCGCCTGTCCAACCTCGTGGGTTTTCTCCGGGTCCTCCCACTGCTTAAGACCCCTACGCGCAAGCGAATTATTGAAATAAAATTAAACCATGTGTTAGTCCCGAAATGACCTAGTTTGTGTCAAGTGGACGTTAAACCCCATTTCTCTGTCTCTGTCCATCGCTCGTCGTTTGTTTTAGTCATATCCGCATTGACAGGACACTTTCGCACAATATAACCATGCCCCCCCCCAACCGTGCAGCCATCAGTTCTACAATGTGTGACGTATTGGAGTTATTCGACAAGAAATTAGACTTGTGTCCAATCGAACCTTAACATCTCCGGAAACTTTGCGTTGGTGCGGCGCATTCGTTCGCGGTTCTTTTTTTTTGGATTTGACATAACCATCCATGACAATCATACAATTACTGGCAAAACTTTGGCGTAGAAATTCAGAGTATTGACAAAGAATCTCATCGAATGCCACGTTCCTTTTCAATATGATTCGGTGCAGTAGCCGCCCTCCACCAATCAAGATGAGGTCCGTTGGTAACTGGCCGTTGTCCCGTTCAACTAGTAATTTTGCAGTCAACGCCGACTTTTGTGTTTTCTACACACAATTGTCTTTGAATAGGGATGTCGGTACCGAGCACATTTCATACTTGAAGAATGCTCGGAAGTCTCATCCAAGTCGTTTGGCGACCACAACACAGCGCAAGAACAGGGTTGTTTGGTTCACATGGATGACTTTTTTGCCTACTGTTACACCGGGTTACAGATCCCGTAGCGTCCGCATCTGATCCTTTCTGTTGATTTTCGCCCCTGTAAATGGTTTATTGTCCAGATCTGCTTGATCTCGGCGCCTTCGGGAAGTACCCAACTTCGCGTGTTGATTTGTTGTTGTTCAACGCTTGCCAGGTAGGGTTGTCACGGCACCGTGTATGGTAGCGCCATGGTGCATTGTATATACCCGTTGGTATCGTACACTCTGATAAACCTTTGTCATGCGTGAGTACACGACGCGACTATGGAGACGCCATCAGGAATTTCTCAATGGTCAAATCTGGCCACAGTCCGTTTAGTGGATGTTCTGTTTGCTACGTTCAGCATATTATATGAATCTCGTCACGCAAGTGGCGTATTTTATGAACTTTATCCATAATTTGCCTTTTCGAGATGTCGAATTTAACGTGGATTGAAGCAGAGATAGGTGACTGGCAAAAGTCTGCAAGATTTGATTCTCATTCAAGTCATATTCACTGTTCAAGTCCAGGCTTTTCACCTATAGATGGCTGGGTGACGCCACTTCTTCGATCAATCGTGGCACGATATTGTCATCACTGTCTATCCTCGGCTTCAGCTGGCTGCAGAAACTCTTAACAGCTTCATGTAGAGAGGCGAATCCAATAAATTAATAGCCCAAGAGCTCGTGCTACAGCCGTCCTCGACATTATATTAGGGGGTGTAGTTTCCCCGTAGACTTCCATCATCGCCTCTTCGATTCCAGATCCTCTCATTAGATGAAATATATCACCAACTGCGCCCATAAGAGTGTGGAATCCTCTCAATCTGACGACTACGGTTTTGCGGTCTATGGGCTTAACTGCCTTAACATACACCGGTTGATCAAAGGTGGTTGTCGTACACAGCATTTTACATTGTCTAGCCTGTTTATCCACAAAGCATATCGGCGAAAAGACAGTGCTTTCGTCATTTCGGTTCACGTCCAGGAGAAGTAAAATGTGAATACCATCGACACTGATTTATCTTTAAACGATACAGTTTGGCGTAATCCAGTCAGGTTGCTGGTTGAAGTGATTTCCCCCAGCAATCCTGACGAGCGTCACAAAAGGGTAGTATAGAACTCCGATGAGTTGACTATGTATGGTATTTGAATCTCAAGAAACAGTAAAAGTTAACGTTGGGATAGCGAAGGGATCGCGCTGCGAATACACGTCATTGTCCGAATACCACATCTTTTTTTTTTTTTTTTTTACATAACTCGGATACTTGCATTCGCGCTCGCTTCACTACTTGTGACGTCGGTTTGGAATTATCCACTCCCAGTTTTATCCAGCGAATCTGGCCGGCACCGTGGAAAATTCCAGTTCCGTCAATATTCGCATCGGCGTTGTCTCCCACAGACTGTTCTTGAAAGGTACGACTTCATCTGCCGAGGTACAGAATCCCAAAGGATGTAGCTGGCTGATCGCCCACTCCGAGCCGAAAATGTGATCGAACTCGACACCAATCCCAAACAAGAGCGGCGCGATAACGGACCGCGGCTTTGCTGTCTGAATCAAAGTTTGGCCTAGTGCAACCTTTGATAGTTCTCTATTGAGGAGGACATCCAGAAAACTTTTCAAACTGGGAACAATGAAATCACTTTTTTTGGCAAAGTCACGTATAGCCTCATTGTCGGGATACTTATCCTTATTGTAGATTTTCTCGCGTATTCTTTCACGGGCTAATTTTGCGACGATCGTCGTTATTCTAGTTTTCTCAGTTACTGAATCACCCGACCGTTCAGAATACCACTGCTCATTAACAATGTAAGATGCCATATTTCCAAACCACACAGCTTCCTTCCTTGATCCATAAAAAATATATATAGTTCTCCATACCTTTCCTTCAAACGGAATTTGAGCCCTTACTTACCGTAACCATTGACACCACATAGCGAAATACTCGTTTTTAGCTTCATCAGTCAAAACAATCATATAACCGAGCCTTCACCTGTTCAGATCATCACATAATTCTAAAAGTTTTTCTCTTGTTTTATCAGTTGTGCGAATCTGATATATCGGTTTTCTTTCAGGGTGCTAAGGATCTTCTTGGGCCTGACCACAGCACAAAAAAATACGGTCCATACCCCAAATAAATGACGGCAATTGACTTCATAACCACAATGACATAATGACGTCATAGCGCCAAATGGGTGTGATTTTTGAAATCAGTGATATCCATTACCTATAGGTAGACGCCATACTTGCTGGGGTTAGAGATCAATATTCACAAGTTATTGCTTTCATACGTGATTGGGCGGGGCCAAAATTCAAAATGGCGCCAAACATTTCCCCAAGGGGTAGAGATGGGTTCTACTGCACCCATAGCTCATAAAAATATCAAAAATCATCTCTCCCACCACCCCCCACACACACTTAATCCCCGAAAATTATGTACCCCGACCACGCTATTCGTCGATAAAATCAATTTGTGGTCAAGCTGACTGATGCTTGGTATGATCATTCGGATAAAAATAAAAACACCTTTGGGGAAAATATTTCGCTTGCTTTATGTGGACCTATGGACTATTTCCAATTCAAATCTGTCCGTGAGCTCCATAAGATTAACAATTCATCGTCATTTAAACAGTTCACCACTTTTACGATTATTATACCGAGAGTGAAGTTTTCTATTCATTAAATATATCTTGGTCAGACGGTTCCGTTAACTGCAAATCACCGAGAAATATAAAAAAAAAATTAACCGTTCTCTATGTACAGATATTGTAATTAAAAGTTCTGTCTATACACGGCTAATATAATAAACAGTTCCCTGTATATACAATTGATATAATAAACAGGCCTCTATATACAGTTAATATAATAAACTACCATCTGCCTATATACAGTTAATATGATAAACCATTATCTCTATATACAATTAATATAATAAACCATTCTTTATCTATATACAGTTAATACAATAAACAGTTCTCTAGTTAATACAATAAACAGTTCTCTATCTACACAGTTAGTACATTAAACAGCCCTCTATCTACACGGTTAATACAATAAACAGCCCCCTATCTACACGGTTAATACAATAAACAGTTCTCTATACACACAGTTAATATAATAAACCATTATCTGTCTATACCCTTAATTAATATTGCTATTTGTATGTGTATCGAAGTTCTGGTCATCTTGTCCTACAGGGGAGGTAACTGTATCATAAGATGGTGGTGGCTTATTAGCTTCTAGTGAGTGATATGGTGGAGGGGTCAAAACGATTGGTGGACGCAAGGTACTTGTTTGACCAGTATCTGCAATACAAAAGATGCACGAGGATGGATAATCCAAATATTAATTTATCAGAACAAAAAATAAACGATCGTACAGCATATGTGTAAAATATACCAGCGTTGTAAATATTAAGTTCTATTTATAGCGCGACTGTCATGAGTTAAAAGGTTTAACCAGAGGCCGAAGGCCGAGGGGTTAAACCTGTTAACGAATGAAGCGTGCTATAAATGACTTGTAACATTGACAACTGCTCAACATGCTTAGTGTTATTGCACAGAAAACCCACCCCACTTCTCTATATGACTTCTACTAAAACTAGGGTAAACCAGCAAAAGTGTGCAATAACATTGAACATGTCTAGTTATTGCCCGGTTAAGCTCCACCCATCTACTAGAGGGAAAACACAAAGGAAGATTTCCCGTCCATGTTACAACTTCATTTACATCGCGAACAAGAAGTACAAGTCTAAGTAAAATAAGAATTTAAACCACCCACATAATAACTAGATAATAATAATAATCTTTATTCGAAATTTTCATCAGAAGATACATGAATATGGGTCATTCCCAACGCCGGATTAACCATGGGGCCCATTCCCCAGGGCCCCCCACAAAAATCTCAGTTGCGCGCCTCGAGCATGGTCGGACCGAGGACTCCAACGGCAGGTGACCTAGTGACGAGGCCCTCCCATGCTCCGAGGGCCATCCGTCGAAAGTCCCTGGGACCTCCTCAATCAATGGTGATGCGCGTCATATTTTCGACTGGTATCCGTGTTTCTTTTTTGTTTATTTACCTGGAAGCGTCAATCGAGTAAACGCACTAAAATCCTCTTCCGCGGCAATATTTTGGTTACAACTTGTTGTGCTACTAAGGAGGTGGAATCAAGGTAAGTTTGAACCCATTTATATTCCAGTTTTGAACGCAGAATCTGTTAATGTTCTTTAATCTCACTCACATGGATTGGTCCACTGAAATAACGCCAGAATGCGCTAATTTTGTGGCAGAATTTTATTTTTTCTGTGGAAGGTACTTCTAAATGGCTCCGACTTAAGTGCCTGAAATGCCAGGAAATCACTTTTCTGGCCTCCAATTTCTGAAAATTTCCTGGGGGACCCCCTCCCCCCGACCCGCGGTCGGTGATCAAGGGCCCCCACAAGTTCCAGGCCCGTCCGTCGAAAGTCCCTGGGACCTCCTCAATCAATGGTGATGCGCGTCATATTTTCGACTGGTATCCGTGTTTCTTTTTTGTTTATTTACCTGGAAGCGTCAATCGAGTAAACGCACCAAAATCCACTTCCGCGGCAATATTTTGGTTACAACTTGTTGTGCTACTAAGGAGGTGGAATCAAGGTAAGTTTGAACCCATTTATATTCCAGTTTTGAACGCAGAATCTGTTAATGTTCTTTAATCTCACTCGCATGGATTGGTCCACTGAAATAACGCCAGAATGCGCTAATTTTGTGGCAGAATTTTATTTTTTCTGTGGGAGGTACTTCTAAATGGCTCCCACTTAAGTGCCTGAAATGCCAGGAAATCACGTTTCTGGCCTCCAATTTCTGAAAATTTCCTGGGGGACCCCCTCACCCCGACCCGCGGTCGGTGATCAAGGGCCCCCCACAAGTTCCAGGACCCCCAACATGGTTAATCCGGCATTGGTCATTCCATATCAAGTGGCCATTTGACATTATGGTACCGAAACGGATCATAAATTCAGTAATTTTTTTCGGGTTTTCATGCACTTTAAACTCACATTTTTAATAGGAGTAGAACTCGGTTACTGTGATTTTCCCAAAACGGCGAATGGCGAACGCAAAAAAAGGGGATATAATGCGATTTGTTGATCGGGATTCATTTTTTTAGGGCACGTTGCCCGCACAGTGGCGCTACGGCCTACTCTAACTTCGTAATCAAACTCAATCAATCGGATTAAAATACAGATCTATATTTCCTTTCGTTTTTTATACTTTCGATGGCCTTCACTACATGGAGATTTGACCAGTTGTAGTGAAAGGTCGCGTCAGGTGTCATATGAGCGGCTTTTGACCTTATGACGTCAGACATTAACAAAACCGGAAGTAAACCGGTGCTACCCGTAGAGATGAAGGGATCAATGCCTCGTAAACTCATTAGTCTAAACGCAAGGGCAGATCTAAGTGGGGGAGGGCGCATCCACGCGTGGGCCGACTCAATAATGTAATCGTAATAATAATAATAATGATTAATTTATATAGCGCCAACAATTCAACTCAGCGAGATGCTCTCGGTCGCTTTACATTAAGTACAACTAATATAATGTACAATGTCAGCTTCGATTTAAACCAGTAGTTCTCGTTGTGCCGACAAACCGAAACACCGTTGCGCGCTTTCGCCGCCTGTGCGCCCCCACCCCCGTGTCCATGGTCTCAATGGATCCACGAACTGACACGATCTCGTATTGGCCGAATTACAAAAAGAGATAATGCAATCAGTCTGTGATATTGTCTTATGAAAGAACCGCGTCACTTTCGCTTCTAAATAATTCGGCCCAAATCACAAACCCTCAACATGTCTATCAAAACGAGGGACTTAAAGTTACAATTTCATATTTTTAAGTCATATTTTTAAAATGTATTAAAATAAAGCCCTAAAATAGATGGTATCTATAAACAGTCCTACCTTGTTAAAGAATAATCCTATTAATCCTATAATTCACTATTGCCAGTTGAGAAATTGGCAAAAATACCATTTTCAACTTCAAATTCAAACGTTTGAAGATAGCTATTCCATGGTGGGGGAATAGGAAAACAAGGGAGGTAATTGTGTAATTATTTCCGGTGTGAAGAGTGTTAAGTGTGGGAAAGATAACCTATGATCTATAGTGAGTTGACAACCTAATAAGCAAAAGACATAGAAATTATTGTTTTGACTTTCTTAGAAAATATGAAATTGTAACTTTAATGAAGGAATTGTTACTCTTTGTAAATATATTAATGTCTAAATATATTAATGTCTAAATATATTATGTCTAAAAGTATTGGTACAACTAAAATCTTATCTGTTTGAATCAAATTAAAAATAGTTTACTATAAAACTGTTTTTGAATTGAATATCTAAACAAACCTGCGCGATGAGTATACTGTTATTATTATTAAATACTAGAATATACCACTGGAGCTTCAAGAACCAGTCCTTGAGTTGCTTGTCGTTTACGGCAACAACAACAACATGTGACAATAAACATCACAAATATGAAACTGACTGCTACAATTATACCAAAGGGGAAACTGGTATTACTGCTATAACAGTTGAAGAATCTGAAAAACAAATATTTATTGTTATTCCACACTTTAGAATGGGGAATGATATGATATTAACGAATGTTGATGAAATTTTACCATGTTGCTTCAAAGATGATGAATGTGATCCAAAGGAATAGACAAAGAACCCGCCCTTTCATCAGGTCATGGTCAAGGTATCTTGTCTATAACCATATCTGTTGATATAATTTAGGTATTGGCGCCAAGATCCAATTACTTCAGTTTTGAATAATTTTTAATAATTTGTGTATCCGAAGACATGTAATATTGCTTGTTTATCTAAGGTTATGCAATAGAAAGGAAATGGGGTTTAACGTCCGACTGGGCTAATGAAGACGGGCATACGCCATACAGTGTGCTATGAGAGACATTTTGCCCGGGCAGCGGCACTATGGCCCACTCTTATATGGAATTCTAACTGCCAAGAGATCTTTTACGTGCATACGAATGTATACACGGGACCTCGGTTTTTCGTCAAATCCGAACGACTAGACAGCTGTCCTTGTCAAGCCCTCCGTCCTGCACCACTGACAAGGGAAAACCACGTCGGAAAAACCCGATGAACTTAATCCAATAGAACTTGTGTATTTAAAGAAAAAATTTAAAAAAACTTGTGTGTCTCAAGTAGAGAGAGAGAGAGAGAGAGAAATGGGATTTAACGTCCACTCACACAAACTAGGTCATTTCGGAACTAACACATGGTTTAATTTCATTTAAATAATTCGCTTGCGCGTAGGGGTCTTTAGTAGTGGGGGGTAGAAAACCCACGAGGTTGGACAGGCGATTCTACTCCTTGTCACATACAACCGGCAATCGAAACCCCTCCAATTGACTCAATGACAGACCGTATGATACAGCGCGCACGTGCTAACCATTGCCCCCCCCCCTCTCCGTCTCAAGTGGAGTAATATAACTTGTTTATATGAAGTAATGATAGAACGTACCGAATTTATGTATTTGAAATAAAGTAATTGTTGACGGGCGGACGGATATTTGTGGCGACCTTATAGCCCATACTTAAAGGTGTATTTTTTAATTCGAGTAAAAATTAGCATAATTATGTTACCCAGGTCCATCATAGATAGAGCAGCATACGTTGCGTAACGTAGCGTTACTGCTGGTATTACAACATCCATAATAACAATACGTTGAGTTGTTGATACCATGATCATCATCAAAATAGTCACAGTACTCGCCTTTAACAACTTAAAATAAAAAATTAAAACAGAATTGTGAACACGCTTCATTGGTATTTTCATGGATATGACAGGTGTCTTTTTAAAGGCTCAATACCACTTTTGTTGTAACTGAATAATATGCCCCAATCTTTATTCTGGTCAACAAATTGTACTAGTTTACAATATTCCAATTAATTGATGATACAAATTTTATCTTAACACAACTAATTTAAAAAAAGGTCGGGTGTTCGATCCCTGCATTGGCCGAGAAAGTTCATCCATATTTTCCGGCGTGGTTTCCCCTTGTCAGTGATGCAGGACGGAGGGCCTGACAAAGCGAGCTGTCTAGTCGCTCGGATGGGACGAAAAACCGAGGTCGCGCGTACACATTGGCGTGCACGTAAAAGATTCCTTGGTAGTTGGTTTAAAATAGCATCTAATGAAATAAGATGGGGTTTAACGCCCTGTGTGCTGCTCTGACAGGGCTGATGAAGACGGACAGTCGTCATATAGAGTGTTATGAGAACTTTGCCGGATAGAGGCACTACGGTCTACTATTCATCGAACACTGGACCCCTGCTTAGTAAGCCAACGCCTCACTCATTAAAACTGTGAGGTCGTTTCTAAAGTCCTTTGTCCCAAACTAAGGTTTGTAAGAACAGTTGGTTGTTTAATTTACAATGTGGGTTAGACCATACACTGACATGTAATGTAAGGTGAGATATATGGAAATGGGGTTTAACATCCACTTGACACAAACTGGGTCATTTCAGGACGAAGACTTGGTTCAATTTTATTTCAATAATTCGGTTGCGTGTAGGGGTCTTTAGCAGTGGGAGGAAAAGGGAGGACCCGGAGAAATTCCACGAGGTTGGACAGGCGAGCCTACACCTTGTCACGTACATCCGAGAAATCGAAACCACGCTAGTTGACTCAATATCAGACCTTATGACACAACACGCACGCGCTAACCAATCGGTCATCGAATCCCTCTGTAACATAAGGTAAACGATATACATGGTCAATAAATATGTTGGTTATATACATAATATCATTGTAAATATACAGGAGTAACTACATTAATCAGGAAACTTTACCTTGCATTAACGACCATAAACAGAACAGGTGATATGAGATACTGAACACCATGGTCATTACTAAATAATCTACAGGTAACAGTTAACCAGGTAATACTAGAATTAAATAACACGAATTTAGTCTTCAACTAACTCACAAAATGGCTACACCTCTGTATTCAATAAAACGCACATTAATCGGTCCAATACACTCACTATTACATAACGATACATCATTTTGTCAAGAGATCCCTATATACCTTAATGTATAGAGGTGCATTACAATACATATATTGAACACGTGGTCGCATTCTATTCAGTTTAAAACTGTGCATTTCGTTTGATATAATATGACATACGCTACCAAACAGGATGTTTCCCACGCGGGCAGAATTGTATTCATTGCACACTGTATATGGCGCATATCCCTCTTTATTAGCCCGTTTCGGTTCGTCAGTAACGATGGCTCAGTGGGTGAGACGCTGGCTAGCTACCCTGAGGGTAACGGACTCGATCCTAAGTTCATAGGGATTTCCTGGTTTCCCCTTGTCAGAGGTACAGGACGGCTGCCTAGTACTAGTAGTACGACAAACTAAGGTCCCGTGTATACATTGGCGTGCACGTAAAAGGTCCCTTGACTCTTGTAATTCTATATAATTGCAGGCCATAGCGCCGCTGACTGGGCAACATTACCCTTAAAACAAACTGTATGGCGTACACCCGTCTTCATTAGCCCAGTCGGAGATGAACATTATGCATGAGACAAATCTGCGTATTGCAGGTCCTTCTTTAGGTCTGAAATGTTATATAAACTATTAATTAGAAAACATTTTGGAGGTGTGTGTTGTTACGGTCCGGGAACACACCCATATATATTTCATCATTATTAAATTATTTATTGTTTCACTGGGAACATACCTATGTAGTGCATTATTTGTTATAAAGTATTTGTATTAGAACGTGCCTTTCTTTGTTAATGGATTCACTGGTTTGTTCACCTTTACAAACTTGTTCTCCCCCGCGTCACAAATGGACTGCGCCATTTTGTTCCACGCTGTTTTCTTCGCCGGCTGCAGTAGCCGATAATCCCTCATAGCTCCGTACAAATAGAGTGTCATGAACCAATGAGTGCATGGGCTACAGTATTAAACCCAATTATCGATATTTGCATATAAATAAATATATTTCTGCCTCGAGTCTTACCGTATTTTCGATTGAAACATCGACAAGCTAACCGTCCGCCAAACGCTCGACTGTTGGTCACGTGATACTACGTTGGGGGTAATATGACGTCAAAATTTGGTGACGTAATATGGCGCGCTGTACGAATCATTCCTGTTAGTTGGCCTTCGCAACTCACTGTGTACAGACGTGTTTTCTTGGAATCTTGGGACATGGCTCAAGCGTCCTGTAATATGCCTTCACTGGTAAGGAATTAATTGTATTGTAATAGATTGTTTAACCTGTGCCTGTTGGGGAGCCTAATTAAGCTTCTTGTGATTTATAATAATAATTTCGGTGTTTACCGACATTATTAGGCCTACCGTGCCTTTGACTTTGTTTGTCTTTTGACCTCCAAGTCTAACTGTGAGTTGACGTTTGGTTTTGACTCTATACATTTACACACCTATCTTGCCCTTTTTTTTTAGCCAAGGTGTTTTGCAATATTAACATATAGAACATTGTGATATAATTGATTAACCAGCTTTGCCTGTAGAACCTAAAGTGGTATTACAACCAGTCATTGGTACTACAAAACCTGGTGTTTCGAACCAAATCTGGTGCGTGCCTGAATGATCTGGGTGCCTGGAACCGAATCTGGTGCACAAGATATAAACCTGATTATTAATGTTACATAAGATATTGCGATTATTATTAGCAGCAAGGCTTCTAGTGGAAATGCTGCAGGGAGTTGGGAAACGTAAATAAGGTGGTCTGGGCTTGATATTTTTATTTGCAGGAAAACCGTTCCAATCCAGAAGTTCCTGAATCGTGTATCGCATACACCAAGTATCCTGATATATTCACAACTTTAAAAAACTAAGTACCAGTACTAATAATTATTCTCAACGTGGAACTAGTAAAACTTTTAACTTCAATGTACATTTTTAAATCTATATATATATTTGAGACTGTCGTTTGTCTGTCTGTCTGTTCGGGGTTGGCGGCTACACTAGGTCTGCCCCGAGTCTGAAATTTGGGGTATAGGGGTAGCTCGGACCGGGGAGTAACATAGGCCAGGTGGCGTTAGTCTACCACTTCCGGTTTCGGGGTTATGACCCCCGAGTGAAGCCGGTCTGTTCGGGGTTGGCGGCTACACTAGGTCTGCCCCGAGTCTGAAATTTAGGGTGTAGGGGTAGCTCGGACCGGGGAGTAACACAGGCCAGGTGGCGTTAGTCTACCACTTCCGGTTTCGGAGTTATGACCCCCAAGCGAAGTCTGTCTGTTCGGGGTTGGCGGCTACATCTGCCCCGAGTCTGAAATTTGGGGTATAGGAGAAGCTCGGACCGGGGAGTAACATAGGCCAGGTGGCGTTAGTCTACCACTTCCGGTTTCGGAGTTATGACCCCCGAGCGAAGCCGGGTATCCTGCTAGTTTTATATATTTATGTAATAAAGTTTGTGTTGTTCTTAATTGAAGTACTCTGTTATCTGTTCGTGTCTGGGTTATTGCAGGGGGTCTTCACGTACAGCTACAGAACGCCCGCAAATACGTTGGTTGCCAGCCGGAGGGTTGGTCGCGCAACAGTGTGTGTGTGGGGGCGGGGGCTAATGGCTAGAGTATTATTAAATTGATATCCAACGCAATAACAAAGAATATTAAAAGATGACAATTTTGTTCGGCATTTTATAAAACTATACCTAAATCTAAATAATGGCATTCTTATACGCGAATAATTAAATATACATTATGCATGGCTCGAAATGTTCGCCTGTCTACTTGTCGCCGACAGGCGATTTTTTCGTCTGACAGGTAGCAAATAAAACTACCTGTCGCTTGCGACAGGTGGACTAAATTTTACTTGATGTTCAGTAAATTGACCACAATACTCACGTCCACGTCACGTACATTTAATTATTTGTTTCTAAATGCAAGAATTAAGCACGGAAATACCGCGAAATGCCGCCATTTGCACTGTTTACATTTCGCTCTGTCGTAGGCTACAGTTGCTCACACAGTTTGGGAGTAGACAATTTTTACGCTTGTTTTCATCTGCTTGACACTAGTTTATAGCATTATGGAGTATTATATCTAAATAAATTAAAACGCACCCCCAAGTCACCTGAAATAATTCTACCGTAACGACACCACAGTAAATATAGTACTAGTAGTAGTGGTTGGAATGGAAATGCACGCGGCTCGTTGCTTGGTGTATTTAATCATTTAAAAAGTTTTAAACAATTTCCATAAATAAAGGCTATGAATAATTTATAAGACAAATTTGACAAAATCAAAAAATCAGGTCGGAAAAATATTTCATATATAAATATAATTTGCAGCGTAAACATAGTCCGGATATGTGAGAAGGGAATTCCAGGTGGCGTTATCTGTCCTTCGCACGCGGTAGATGTAAATACGGTGTGATTTGTGTTTTGATATTCAATTTATTACGGATATTTTAAAATCTGAATTCTACAACTCAACGGTGAAGTATTCGATTTAGTACGGAAGTGTGGTACCATGATACTTTGCGGAATTCACGTGGATACGGATGATAGAATTGTACGAATCTTCGAGTCGCTGAGCCAAAGCAGATTCGCCGACTTTCAAGAACTTTTAGGCAATCCGATGTCGAAGAAATAAAAATGTTTCATATTACGATATTTATATAGAGCAATGTACGTCAAAGACCTAACCACGTGCGTGTGTACCTACATGTATGGATGTGATTTGTCTTTGAGTTTGATAATTGAGAGTGACAGGTTATTTACTGAAGCGACAGGTATGAAGAAAACTTGCGACAGGTAGCTTTTTTTTAAACATTTCGAGGCCTGCATTATGCAAGAGCTAAATCTGTCTATTGCAGGTCTTTCTTTGGGCCTGAAAAGTTATCTAAATTATTAATTAGACATTAATTAACCTATCCTGACCATAATCAACTCTAGATGGCATCGCTAGCCTGCGATCTTTAGTGGATTGTGAGCCGATTACTGCATAACTTTCCTTCACGATTTAACGATTAAATGGATAATCGAGACTATGATGTTTATCGTTCTGACTTTAGTAATGATGATCAAGGCTAGCCGGAAATTTCAACCGCTTAGTTCTTGGTTCATAGTGGATCAATCTGAATGAATTTTTCAGCAAATTGCCTTTACATTATCTAGTTTTTAACTATTATAGTGAGAACTGTCAACTCGTTATCGTATCTCCCATAATGTATCTTTAATAATGTGTATTTTACTATACTCTTCCAAAATGCCTCAAAAAGTCACACTCCTCGCAGTGTTTCGTTTGATTAGAGCTAATCCCACTAAACACTGCTTTAATGGAAGCAGATTTCTGTTCCAAATTATGACAGGTCAAAAGTCCGATTAACAACCAATAGCTAACTGCGTAACAATATCGTTACATTTTAATCAAAGCTCCAAATTGGACCAAATATGTTTACATAACGTTACGTCATGACTCACGATTTTATTATGCCCAATACCTTAAATCACTCTCCAAAATTTTAGGGAAGACCCCAGATTAAACGAAGGGATGTCATGTTGCTGTGCTTGGGATAAATGTGATTGAACGGTAAGAATAGACACACTCCCTCAAAAGCTCAAGTATCAGAAGCCAATCATTCAATCTTCTACAAGTAAATGTTTCCCCGGTTGTACGTGACAAGGAGTAGGGTCGCCTGTTCACTCTCGTGGGTTTCTTCTAAAGACCCCGAATTGTCCTTGTTTATGTCGAGTGGACGCCAAACCCCAATCTCTCCCCCCCCCCCTTTCTCTCTAAAAGTAAATATAGAAATTTAGAATTCAGCCTAGATTCTGGTTTATCAAAGGGTTAACTGTTTTAAAGTATTTTTATAAGAACGTGCTTTTCTTTGTTGATGGGATGACTGGTTTATGTATTCTTTAATGGTCGAGAGCGAGACATTAAGTAATTTATTGTAACATGTTTTTACAATATATTACGCAATGCCTTAAGCTCGAGACCATTGAACGACTTAAAATACAGACAGGCACTCCGCACGTGCTTTTACAATGAAATACGCCACACGAGTCCAATATTTCACTAGTATAAATAATGTACGATTGGCAAGTTGCCCGTACGATTATTTGAAATAATGGTACGCCAACATCAAAGGGTGAACCTGTAACAAATGGTCTGCGGCAGTTTGTCCACGTCGCCAACTGCAAGTCGCCGAAAATCGCTCATAGCTACGTAAAAATGAAGTGTTGTAAACCAATGAGTTGATGAGCTGCAGTAGTAAACCTAATCATCAATATGTGCCCAGAAATGAATATGTTTATTCTCTATTAAAACATCAACGGTTCTATCGTCTGTTAATGGGCGTCCTCGCTGAAGGAATACCACCAGGCGTCGCTAGTACAAACTCGGTTCCACGTGACCTTATCGATGGTAAGAGAACGGCGTTTCGACGTATCGGTATTAAATACCATTTTAACCCTTGTGCGGACACGTCGCACGAAAAACGCTGTCAGCAACAAGGGGTAATCTAAAACCCCAGACATAAATAGGTTTTTGTATGCATAATTTTATTCAAATACGATCAAACATGAGCTTATATAAAAACTGAAGAATAAGTAAAAAAAAAATATTTGAAGATATGAATTATAAGGTAAATAGCTAATTGTCATTTCCATGTAGAATCGTCCTTTGACGGGGTTGGTAGAGTACCTAGATTTGTTTTCAGAAGTTAAATGATCAACACAATATCATCAGTAAGAATGATTCCAAATGCAAAGCTTGCGCAGAACAGATTAGGCAAAATGTTTAAAGGAGAGGGGAGAGGTCCACAAGACAACTTGTTTCCGATAATGTTAGGGTGACCCACCATAAATAAATATCTCGACAATTTCGCCACAATATTTATATATATGCCAAGCCTCAAATCAGATGTGATGGATGTGACGTCATCCTTTGATGTTGGAGTACCATTATTTCAAATAATCGTACGGGCAATATGCCAAGCGTAACTTGGTAAAATATTGAACTCAGTGACGTATTTCATTGCAAGGCACGTGCAATTCTCTACAAATCTATCAACTATTACAGCCGTAAAAAATTTATTGTTGACGATTTTGAATAGCAGTAAAATT